TCTGGTTTGGTGGTATTTTTTTTTCTGTTCTTTCTTTCCTCTCCTGCCCTCATGGCTCAGTTTTCTAAAAGTGTTAAGTATATTCACTGGGCTGCAGATCTTTGTGATAAGAGTCCATCTACAGATGGGCCAGCCACTGGCACTCCAATAAAGGCTTCAAATTCGACTTCTCAAAATGTGGCTATGGGCTGGGAATGTGGCTTAGTGGTAGAATGCTTGCCTAGCATGCATGAAGCCCTGGGTTCCATTCCTCAGTACCACATAAACAGAAAAAGCCAAAAGTGGCTCTGTGGTTCAAGTGGTAGTGCTAGCATTGAGCAAAAGAAACTCAGGGACACTGCCTACACTCTGAGTTCAAGCCTAGGACTGGCAAAAAAATGTGGCTTCTCTCTTTTCTCATCATACACTAACAGTGGGATTATTTTCTTCATAGTCACTCAGCTACCCACATTGAAAGGCTAGCCACTACCTGAAAGTGCTAAGATGACAGGGGTGAGGAAACCTTGGAAGGTCTTGAGTAGGAACATCAAAGGCTCCAAATCAGTAATAAGCTTGTTACTTCCAATGATAGTTCTCTGAGCAGAAGCAGTCCTAGGGGGCCCTATACTCCCCTGGCCACAACCACAAAAAGGTTGGGAGGTGCTTAGGTGATGAAATTGTTGCAAAAATTTTGATAAACTACTAAATGATCATTGTATGCCATTTTTCTAGTCTTTGTGATTTAGATATCAAATGGAATTTCTATTTATCATCTTTCTTACAAAATGTACATGTATAAAAGCAATGATTCTCACAGTGGCTCTGATGAGAAACATGTTCAGTAAAATTAAACGTTTAAATAAAGTCAAATGAGATCATTGTCAAATGCTTAGAGGAGGAGAGCTGTCTGAGGCTCATGTCAATAATCTTAGTTTCTCAGCAGGCTTGAGATCTGAGGATTTGATTCAAAACCAGCCCTGGCAGAAAAATCCCAGACTCTTATCTCCAATTAATCAGCAAATAGCCAGGGAAGGTGTGATTCATGTGGGAGAATATCAACTTTGAGGGAGAAAAAAAAAAGCAAAGGGAGTTCTCAAGGCCCTGAGCTCAAGCCTTAGTACTGCCACACACAATAAAAGATCAGAGGTAGAAATAGGAAGATCATTTGAATGTCTGTATCTGCCACTGGGTAAAACTTATTTGTTCCATATTTATGGAGGTAAATTACATGAAGGGGAAAGAAATGAACATGTTTTAAAAAGTATTTGAGTCCAAAAACAAATTATAAAATTCTATGGATCATTGTTGTAACAATTTTCCTAGTGTCATTATGAAGGGACAGCTGGGCTAAAAATTCAAGAAAGATCAGGACCACAGAAAAATACATATGTAATCAGGCCTCTTATTTAGGCTTGAAAACAAAAGTAGCATACAAAAACATGCTTGATGATTCTAAGCATAATATCCAGGTCTAATTAAGAAAAAAAGAAATAGATTGACTCTCTATTAGTAAGTATTCATGGAAATATGAGTTCATTATCACACAGGTCCTAACTGCTCAGAGAGAGGTATTCAGGGATGCACCAATCTAAACTTCAATGTTTCATTCACAGTCCATGTCCTAAACTTATTATTCAAATCTTATTCAAATCTCTATCAACTATTTTCAGTGTACTCAATAATCATTTTCAGCAAATGGTTCCATTCTTTAAAATATAAACTGAAAATGGAAGAAGTTCAAGTTAATGAAGCATTTGGGATTGTGTATTTACTTCATTCATTTGGACTTTATTCAGTGATTTGTCGTGCCACATTAACTTTTACAGCAAATTCTTTTTGTAGAATATTTAATATGCTCAAAGATATTCGAAACCACAAATAGGTCATTCAAAAGATGTAAACCACTATTTTTTTCCATTTACTTATTTATTTATTTGCTATTTGCTGTGCTGTGCTGGAGATGGAAACCAAAGACTATATCACTAGGCCTAAGCAACTGCTTTATCATTCAGCTATACCCACAGCCCAGTTGTCCTGCTTCCATTCTCTTTCTTTGGGTTTTAAAAACAGGGTCTCACTTATATAACCAAGATTAACCTAGGGCTTGCAATCTTCCTATCTCACTCTCCGAAGTGCTGGGATTACAAGCCTGCATCATCTTGCTTAGCATTCCCTGCCCTATCTGTATTTTTAATCAGCTGGTACCAAATACTATGGTTTTTCAAACATACTCCAATGACTATATTAGTATCAAAGACTTTTTCCGGGTAATGAGGATTGAGTCCAGGGCTCCACTATGCTAGGTAAGTGTTCTACCACTTGAACCATATCTTCTACCTGAAGGATACTGTTTAAGACAGTCTACCTGATTTTGTGTATTCTGTGACAGTAAATTATAGTATATTCTATAGTGACATGGTAAAAAATCTTGTTATTCTCTAATGCTGAACATGCAGTTAGCAAGTGCTTAAAATGAAGGTTAAAATCCTCCAAGATAACTCAGGAATTATAGACCTCTAAGCTTAAATTCCCTCACATCAATAGTTTCTTAATGGAGTGAAATTTTTTCACCTTCATTGTTATCTATACATTCATACATTGTTATCTATCTATTCAAAGGCTTGAAATTCTGTAATTTATGGCACAACTGAATAGTAACTGAATTGTCATTGAGTTACCAAAATGCTCTATCAATAGAAATGTCCCTCCACAATGCCATGTATAAGAATGTTCATGGCAGCATGATCTACAATAGCTCTAAACCAGAAACTACCCTATGATCTGTCAGGAGTTCATAATTTATGAATTCATAAAATATATAATGTAATTACAGAATGGAATAAATGAATGCTTGATAACTACATATAACAATATGAAAGAATCCCACCAGCAGAGGTTGAATCAAAGAAACCAAACACAAACAAATGTGCACTTTATGACCTTATACATAGCAAATATACAGATGAACAGATTGAATCCATGGTTTTGTAGTCAATCTAGGACTTCCCATGGGAGGAATTAGCAACTTGATGACAGCATGATGAGATCCCACCTATTAGTAAAGTTCTGTCTCCTGATCCAGGACTGGGTCGAAAGAGGCACTCCGACTAGGAAAATTCCTTGAACCACGGCCAATATTCATGTTTCTGTAAGTATTCTACATTGCAACAGAAGTTAAAGAACATTCCAGGAAATCCATGAAAATTGACAATCAATGTAACATAATTCTCAAAGTCATTGCTAGAATTTGAGTCATCAATATGAATATCATTCTCTAAACAAATTATTAAATGTACTGTATCTGGAACAATTCCTCCAGACCTAGCTACTTAAAATATCAAAATAAGTTAGTAATTTCCCTTTGAACTCTAATCTGCTTTTGTCTAATATGTGATATCACCACAGTTGAATCTCTGTCATCTTCTACTTTTTTTTCTCTTTTTGCCAGCAAATGGGACTTGAACTCAGGATCTCAAATTCTTACTCAGCTTTTTTACTCATGGCTGACACTGTACAACTTGAGCCCTGCTTTTTATAGGTGAGGTGGGGACGAATTCTCCAAATTTTTCTGCCTGGACTGGGTTTGAACTGTGACCCTACAAGTCTCAGCCTTCTGAGTAGCTAGGATTACAGGGCATGAGCCATTGGTGCCTGGTTTATTTCCTTTAAATACTATTTACTATGATCTTTTTACCAGTCTCTTAAGAGTCTGTTCTACCTGATTACGACACATTAACCAAAAGTGACTTAATATCCAAATCACGTCTTTCACTGCTTTGCTTCAATGTCAGCCAGGCATTGTTGGCACACCTCTGTGATCTTAGCTACACAGGAGGATGAGAACTGAGGATTGCAGTTGGAAGCCAGCACTCTAGGCAGGAAAGTCCTGAGACTCCAATTAACCACCAAAAAGACAGAAATGGAGCCATGGCTCGAGTGATAGAGTACCAGTCTTGAGCAAAAAAGCTAAGAGACAGTGACCAGGGCTTAAGTTTGAGTCCCAGTACTAATGCACATGCATCACGCGCACACTCAGACAGTCACTATTAAAATGTATTGTGACCTCTCAGGAGACCCTGTCTCCCTCATCTACCTCACATTGTCCTGGTCTTTCCCTCTGTTCACTGGTCTTCTTGTTGATCTACCTCAAGACCTTTGCTGTACTGTTTCCCCTGCCTAGAACAATCAACGTTTCACTAATTCTGATGGCTAGGCGATTTATTTTCCATCTTACTCAAAGACTTAGTTAAGAAGCCACATCTAAAGTCCATCCCTTATTGTGTTCCTTATCACTTCTTAGCTGTTTTCTCTCTTGAGGTGATTTATTATCTTTTACATAGTTGCTTACTTATTGTTTATTGTTGTTGTTGTTTTGTATTAGACTGCATAGTCTGAGAGCAGCTTGCTTGAGTATCCCGGTCAGAATTGCATCTCCAGCGCCTATCAAGTGCCTGTCCTACTTGTAGTCCTTTATAAACATGGGGGGGAACCCCAAAAACCAACAAAACAAACACTTGTGGAATAAATGAATCCACTGTCTCCAAGCTATCACCAGACTGTTTATTCAGCCAGAACAACGCCCGCCTGCGAATCTGTCAAGCAAGAAAACCAGATGCCTTCCAAGCTCTGTGCGCAGCAAAGTGCTGGCAATCCATTTTCGGTGTCCTAGCTGTCACAACCACCTCCACACTCGGCCCGAAGGGATGCACCTCCCGCCTCCAGCGGTGGAAGGGTGCCAAGTCACCAAGCGCCACCCAGGCGCTTCCCATCAGTGGGTGCAGCGCGCCAATTCCGGGAGAGCGGGGCGCCACAGCCAGCCGCTATTGGTTCACATTGACGTCAGTCTGCCGTGAGCAACTGAAAGTATAGACAGACCCAAATGGCAAAACGAGAGGCTCGCTCCCTTCGGCATCTGTGATTGGTTTCAGTGGAAGATGGGCGCGCCACCTTGTCGAGCACTGATTGGGCAGAGCTGCTGTCAATCAACGGGAACTGATTTTCCCCTCTCCATCTGGCCGACTACGGTTGAGAAATTCTCCACAATCTTCCAGAGACGAGGTTGTGGCTGCGGATTGCTTTCTTCAGAGATCGAAGTCAAGGCAATCTCATTTACCAACCGAGAGCCCTTCCTCTCTTTCCGTTAGCTAATTAAAATATTTCCAGAAACAGCCATCACAAGGTAAGAGCCTAGACTACGATTCATTTTTTCTCGGCCTTTCTAAGGATATTTATTGGAGGCAATGGAGAATCAAGGGAGGAGGATTCCGAGAAAGCGGAGAGAGAAATAAATGTCTGCAGCTTCCTCTTTAGAAGCCACTGCACACCCCAGCTCTCTGCAAAACCTGTGCAGCGCTCTCTGCTCTCTTTCCATTTCAAGATCCAGAGCAGCTTCTCGAGGCCCACCCGGGCTGCTTCTACCATGGCATAGTTTGGCCTTGAACTTGACCCCGAGCTGCAAGTCTGGCTGGCGAAGCACGGGCAGGTGGGGTGGCTGGGGAGGTCGGAGGCAGGGACGAGGAAGCCAGGAGGGTGGGCGCCCTAGTTTCCTCCTAGGGAGGCCCCATGGGCGCCCTCTCCAAATTCGGGGAGACTAGGATGCTGTAGGCATCCATACCTCCCCGCCACAGGGGTGGCGGCAGACGTGGCCAGTATCTGTACACCTGGGAATAGGGAGTAGGGAGGCTGGGGGCAGGGACCCAACGACCTGCGGGGCTGCCAGCATGCCACACGAAGGTGTTGTCCTGCCTTGTGGTTACTGAACTGAGCACAGGCATCCGGAATGGCGAGCTTTCTAGGAGAGATCAGTGGACCGAGGATGCAGACCGGCGCAGTTAGCTTTGGGTCACAGGCCTTGGGTTTTGCTTTGTGAGCCCAGCACTGGGTCTGAAGTCCTTTCTTCGCAGCTGCTGTTGCGATGAGAGAATTCACAGATGGCATAATTGAGATTCCCAAGTGGAAACAGCCAGGGAATTGGGGGGGGGGGGGTCACTAAGAGCTCTCTAGCCATTCTGAGCTTCTAACTGGACATGATCAGCTAGGGTCTGGTGGGTTCTTTACAATCTTTCCCCGGGGCAGGCAGAAGAAAGGAGGTTTTTATGGCAAATCATAAAGATACTGAAAAATAGCAACGAGACAAGTGGCAGGATGCCCACAATCCTACCTACTCAGGAGGCTGGGATGTGAATGAAGTTCGTGATTCGAAGCCAGCCCAGCCAGAAAAGGCCTGAAGGGTAAAAAGCTGGAAGTGGAGGTGTGGCTCAAGTGGTAGAGCACCAGCTTTGAGTGAAAAAAGCTAAGGCATAGGGCCGAGGCCCTGAGTTCAAGTCCCAGCACACGCACACACACGCGCATACACACACACACACACACACACACACACACACACACACACCATAGCAAAGGCTCGAAGTGTTCTGACTACACTCTCATAGTAGGAAGAAGAAAGGCGATATCTATTGAAGACTGGGGACATTGGAAACAAATGCTCCAGTGTCATAAATTAAGAAAATGTCTCAGTTCCGATCTAAGAATTGTGAGTTCTTGCAAATATTTTCTTGGAATCTTAGATCACCCAGGCACCTCCTTTCACCAGAATATAAGGTAAAAGGAAAGGAGATGTAGATGATGTTGCATAGACTATAAAAGAAAATTCTTACCCAGGCACCTGTGGTTCAAGCCTGTAATCCTAGCTACTCAGGAGGCTGAGATCTGAGGCTCACAGTTCAAAGGCAGCCAGGCAGGAAAGTCTTTGAGACTCTTATCTCCAATTAATCACCGAAACAGCCAGAAATGGAGCTGTAGCTCTAGTGGTAGAATGCTAGCCTTGAATGAAACTCTCAAGGACAGCACTGAGGCCCTGAGTTCAAGCCCCAGGACCAGCCAAAAGTAAAAAATTTTTAAAAGAATAAAAAGGAAATCCTTTGTTGAGATAGAATCTAGATAATGGAGTCCAGATTCAGTTTCCTGAGTTGGAATTATTGATGTGTGGCCTCTTCTGAATTCATAGATCAAACATATGATTATATCAAGTTTGTTATTTTATTTTTTTCTTAAGTAGATTTATACATTTCTTTCTTTTTGCTGGGAACTGATAAGGATTAGGGTCCAAATTTGCTGAAATACATTTCAAAAGTTTGTATACTATTTTAGGCTTTATTTCCTTACGGTTGACAAAGAAATGTTTGGTTAAAGCATATTACATATTTGGTTAAGGTATGTTTCTTTTAAGCAAATTGTAAGTAACCTTGTGTTTCTATTATAGAAAGACATCTGAGTGTCACTTAATACCATAAAAAATAGTCATTTAAAATATATTACAAGGAGAATATAAACCGTATCATTAATGCTAATCTTTATAATTCCTGCTTAGTTTTGCTGTGTGCTTACTGTAATAATAGCAAAGTGCCCTCTGGCTTTTTTTTTTTTTCAAAATTCAAAAGCAGTTTTAACTCAAAATTCCCAGTGCTAAATCCTGCCAGGGATTATGCTCTCATAGTCACACATTGAGGGAATATACAACTGCAGTGCAAGGAAATAATAAAATTGACATAGCAATTTTGTATCTATATTTGTAGCTGTTTTCTTTTTTTTTTTTAACCACCATTCCCTTGTATTTTTGAATTAAGTGGGTACTTCAAAAGTTTACCCTAAGTTCTGGTTGCAAGTGATTTATGCCGATACTGCTACCTTCTTGGGAATCCTAGCCTCTTGAAGGCTTGAGAACAGGAGGATCTTAGTTTTAGGTCAGCCCATGCATAAACTCAAGTCCTCATCTCAGTCAATACCTGGATGAGGTAGTATATGCTTGTCATCCTAGCTACATGAGACATATAACTGGTGGATGTAAGTTCAGGGTGGCCAAGGAATTCCCAGGAGACCCTCTTTAAAAACTAAGAAAACAAGCAGGGCGCTGGTGGCTCAGGCCTGTAATCCTAGCTATACCAGAGGCTGAAATCTGAGGATCACGTTTCAAAGCCAGCCCAGACAGGGAACTCCATGAGACTCTGATCTCCAATAAACCACTCAGAAAAACAGAAATGGCACTGTGGCTCAAGTGGTAGAGCGCTAACCTTGAGTTTAAGAGCTGAGGGACAGCGCCCAGGCCCAGAGTTCAAGTCCCACAACTGACAAAAAACAAACAAACAAAAAGGTATATGGGCGTGGCTCAAGTGGTAAATAGCCCTTCTAGCAAGTGCAAACCCTGGGTTCAACTACTTGTACTAAGAGATTGTATATTTTTCCACTTTTGTTTATGACTATCAATGTACTTTAGATTTATCATATGAATCAGTCTATGTGAAATCGGTAGAATTCTACTCTAGTTATTTTTCTTTATTGTCTTAAAAGTTTATTTTGAGCCAGCTGCTGATGGCTCAGGTCTATAATCCTAGCTACTCAGTAGCCTGAGATCTGAGGATTCAGAGGATTGCAGTTTGAAGCCACATGGCCATAAAGTGTGTGAGAATCTTATCTGCAGGTAACCACTACCTCACCCCCCCCCACCCAAAAAAGAAAAATAAAGGAGCCAAAAGTAGAGCTGTGGCTCAAGTGGTCAACTGCCAGCCTTGAGCTGAAGAGGTGAGGGACAGCAGCCAGGCCTGAATTCAAGTCCTAGCACGCATGCACGCACGCGCGTGCACGCATACACACACACACACACACATACACACACACACACATTTATTTTTTACTAGTAGCATATAAGTATGGTTTGTGTTTATACTTTCCACTCATTTAACCTTTTGTTTTCTTTTTTCTTTTTCTTTTTTTTTTTGCATTATTTGGAGTTTGAACTCAGGGCTTTATGCTTGCTAGGCAAGCATTCTACTGTTTGTTCCATGCCCTCAGCCCTTTTTGATTTTGTTATTTTTGAAATAGGGTCTCACATTTATACCTGAGCTAGCCTGAATCACAGTCCTCCTGATTAAGATTCCCAAATAGCTGGGATGACAAGTGTGAATCACCACACCCAGCTTTTATTGGTTGAGACGGACTCTCTGGCACTTTTTGCCTCAGATGCCTTCCCTGTCTGTGCGTCCTAAGTAGCAAGGATTATAGGCATACGCTACCATGCTTGGCTCATACACTTAGCTTTTACTGACATATTTTTGTGTTTTCGGAGGACTGAAGGATGACTTGACTTCCCAACTTTGAATATGTTTTACAACAGTTTATAAAAATAAACTAGCCTTAATTTCTTGCTGAAAGAGTGAAGTAATTCTCCCCTGTCTACTCAAAAGGCTGTGGAGTAACTGTGCTGCCTAGTTGGCAGAATGATAAACTAGTCCCAACTCATATTTGCTGAGCTGGCACTAAAAGAGAATTCTGAAGTGTCTGCTTTTTCTCTACCTATTGATTTACAGAGATCAACATATTTGCTGAACTGACAATAAAAGAGAATTCTGAGGTGTTTGCCAATTTGTTCTCCACCTATTTCTGTTACAGAGATTATTAATAGCTTTTATCATGTTTTAAAGGTTTGTGTTGGTTTCACATCTCAAAATCTATTGCCATTGGAAATGATCTGTCCAACTTGGGGGGGAGGGGTGAAAGGGGGAGGGGAAGTAGGAGAAAAATGAGGGAAGGGGTAACATGTTTGACAAGAAATGTACTTATTACCTTAGTTACCCCTCTATACATCACCTTGACAAAAAAACAACCTATTGCCCTAGCCTGCTATTCAGTGCATAGTCTTTACCATGTTGTGATGTCTCTTGCTATTATAAGCTATGGTGGGAATTCTTGATGTACAGGGAAATTGTTTTTGTTTTTGTTGTCTGTTTTTCATTTCTGGTGTTGGTTTTGGTTCTATTGTTATATTTATTCTTTGTATTGATATGTGTGTATGTGCCAGCTGAATATTGAACTCAGGGCCTTCTGCATATTAAGTACAGGTAATCGACCTCTGAGCTCCAGTTTCAGCCTATGTACATATTTAACATTTTTATTTAGCTTAGGAACACAAGTTGCTTTTGAATGATTCCCTCAGGAATCTGGAAGAAATTAGTATGATTTAGTTTATTTATTTACATTTATCTATTTTCTATACTAGGGATTGAACTCAGGGCCTAGCTTTTATTTGTTAGGCACACTCTCAGCTCCCTGGCTTCTTAGTATGTTTTAGATAGGACTTTATGATTGTGATCATGATTGCCTCAGATTACCATCTGCCTACCCTCA